CGTTCGAAAATAATCCTTTTATTATTCAGAATAGTATTTACTGCAAAAATATATTTTTAAGTTGTCATGTTTAAAAAATATATATATCACATTTTTATACTGTAAAATGTTACAAAATTCAAAGCGAATATTTCCACGTATCAAACGTGATTTACAGATCTAGATAGTTTTTATAACACCTCTACAATATTTGTTATTCAACAATAATGATTATACTTCAAATTTGTACTACATAATAGTACAATTTTGTAATAAGAATTTGTGTGGATACATAAAAGTTTTGTTCAACAGATTTTATATTATAAACAGTACAGAATTCTGGAACATTTAATGTTTCATTGTTTTCTTAAATTATTCTTTGATAATACTGTTCGTTCCTTTTTTTTTTCTTTTTTTTTTTGCAAATAATACCCTTACTTTGGAACATATAATATATCTTTCCTTTTAAATTCATACTTAGTTTTTGAAATGAACTTTGTGCTCAAGTAACATATTATTTTCGGGAGGCAATGCAAGGCAGGCTCTTAAGATATTTTCAATTGCTGCTCGTTGTCTGAACAATGCATTCACAACCGGTGTTCCTCGAGGCACTAATGGTGCTTTGCAAAGATATGAAAGTATGGAAAGCACACTGTGAAATTCAGTAAACTCATCTTTGGTATAAGCTAATTTGAAAGTAATACGTGAACAAATCTCTGCTAAAAGAACCAGATCCAAAATAATTGGGCTAGCCAATAGAGAATCTTCACATGTATTATGTATCACAATTGTATTATGTCCTCCAAGTAATATTTCTGATGTGTATTCATCCATCGCTCGTTTGCTATCACCTAGTAAGAATTAAATAACATCTCGTATTCTCAAAACAATAAATGGTACGCAATATTTAATAAATACATACCAACATATGGAACATATTTAATAACAACACAATGATCTGGCTTTTCTCCAGGTTGGTAAAGAATTTTATTTGATTGCACCATATCATCCACAACATTACTTTTTGAAATCTAAAAATACCATTACATTAAAATATTAATGTTATAAATATACATTAACAATAATACATTTCTGTTTTTTTAACGAATTACCTCTTTTGAACGAAATTGTTGTGGGGCAGACAAATTATATCCATCGTTATTTCCAAGATGGTTGTAACTAACAATTGATACTGGTTTAATACCAGCTGAGACTAGAAAGTCCACAAGTACAGATTTTAATTTTGTTTGCCCGGATTTAAAATCATCACCACCAATAAATGTTTTATGTTTCTCTGCTAATTCTATTGCTCCTGGTACGAAAGTATTTTGAGGAGACCCATTTATATATGTACACTGAAATAATAATAGATACATAACATGAACAAATTTTACTAATACTGATAATATGATAATGATTTTTATTTATTTATACTTAAATATTTTACTTACTCCTTCCAAAGCAGCAGCAACAGCAAACACTGTACTTGGACTAATTTCTGAATGACTTTCTTTAATAGCATTTAATAAATTTTCTGCTGTATCATTTACACCTGGAATTATCTCCGAAAATCGTTCGGTATTGGCAGTCCATAATATAATTACTTGATCCAAATTCTTTGTAGCTTTAAATTCTGCAATGTCTTTTCTAATTTGTTCTAATTGTTCAAACTTTGTACCAGGAATAATATTATTTGCTCTTTTTTCCTAAAAATTAAAAAATATAACATAAATTTCTTTTTACTCTCCTGGTCAAAGTCAATAAGAAGATAAATAAATATAAAATAAATATATAAAATAAATAAATATATAAAAAAATTTAATTGAAACCAATATTCACCTGATTGGCAGCAATGAAGTCAGAGTAATATATGCTTTTTCTTGGTTTCATGTGCATCAAATGTGGTACTAATTGCTTCTGTAAATTAATATCCAAAACTTTTGCACGTTGCATAGCATCAGCTAAATTCATATTTGAAATATCCCAGCCATCAACTTCAATATCATCTGGATTTACCATCGGGAGCATCCAAGACATGGGAACATACACATCTTCTTTCTTTCCTTTGCCTAATCTGACAGTAGATGCTTGAATTAAGGAACCGTACCTAAAATTTAAAGCTTTATATAAGTACATTATTTCATTGAAGGATATAAAAATTCCTTATATCATTATCAAATTATCATAACTACCAATTTGCTTCCTGAATGCCATTCTTTGTTTCCCATGTCAACTTCAGTTTGTTTGCTATTAATGCTGCGGTAATAGTGGTACCATTATTTCCACCCCATCCTACCAACATTAATCCAAGTTTCGGAACTTTCAGTTGTGTTCTAATTAATAGGTTTGTTGTTACAGGTGTTACCTATTACAATAAATACATGTTTATATTCTGTAATACATTACACTCCAGTGTTTAAAGCAAATAATATTACGCGCAGTAATTGTTAATATTTGTATCCAAGGTTTTTTCTGCTAGTACACAGTGGTGTACAATACAGGAACCTTTACTTTTTTTTCAAAAATTGAAAAATTCATTTCCAAAATTAAAATCATAGCGTTTGAGCAGCTGTTCATTTTTTTTTTTAATTATTATATTTGTTCCTTTCCCCTAAAAAAGAATTTTTAAATACAAAATCTGTAAATTGAATGTTTATACAATTTTTCTAAAAAAACCTTCCAACCTTAAATGCACTGATCAAATTAAAAATCAGCGTCGTTTCCCTGATAAAAAAATTCACACATAAGTTTATTTACAATTTGTTCAATAATCGTTATTGTTTCTTCTCACTATTTTACAATTTATTCGTGCAGTTTCTGTACAAATCATGTAAGTTCATTTAAAATATAATAATAATCTATAAATAATGTATATAGTTCATTTGAAATATAAAAATAACATCAATAAAATTTTCAAATTGTGTGCATGATACTTGCAGCAAAGAACCAAATATATTAAATAAATATATTAAAACCGGGTATTTTCTAGTTTTCATTATTATTATTATCATTTAATATGTGTTATTAAATCAAGTTAAACTACAATATTGTATTTAATTATAAAACTCTTCTAGAAATGAATTTTCTTTAGCGAAGAGATGCTTTATATAAATTTCTTTTTTTTTTCTCTCTTTCGGTTTTTTTCTTCCAGACAAAGGAAAAGAACAAGTATGAAGTTAACAACATGTAACTTCGAAATGTAATTTTTTTTTTTTATTACTTAAAATTGAAACGTTTCAGTTACAATCTTCACTACGATTTAACACAACAACTTGCTATTTACGGATCGGATTCATCGCTAGACATAAAAAAAAGAAAATCATTTCTTTTTTACATGTTTTCTTTCTCTTCGCGATCTTAACTATTTAACAACTGCAATAACAGAAAAGGGATACTTTTTAAATGGTAAGAAAGAAAAAAAAAAGAAATCTTCCGAGCTTACCGTGTAATTTACACTGTTGCCTTCTGTAACGCTCGTTGTTTGATACTCGTACCGTGCCTCGATATAATCTTCTGTGTATTTCACATTCGGCGAATCGACGCGAATTTTCAAAGCCATTTTAGCTGTTACTATATTTACACTACGACGATGGCAGTCTTGAATTGGTTTTACAAAATGTACTTTCTTCACAGGAATATCGGACTCGAGGACCGATCGAGTTCTAATCGAATTCGAGAATTGTACTGTTTAGGTGTAATATATGCTAAAGGGGATATTTAAATCAACAATTAGTGTAATTGCTTTTCTATAAATTACTGTGCAGCAGGTGATGTATATATGTATATAAATATATATATATATTGTATATATATTTGTATGCGTGTATTTATATATTCGCTATATGTAGGAAATAAGGGGAAAAATTCCTGGATAACGCGAACGTAAATGATAGTCGAAGGTGAATATCCAAAACGTTGTGTTCGTAGCTGAAACGTAAATGTCGAGAGGACGCGCAAGCATGCGCTTTAAAAGAAACGTCGTAACAGCCCCCTTCCACCCCTGTTTAACTGGTACCTATTATATTTGATTACCGCTCGGTTTTTATCAGACTAACTAATCTTGCATAAAATAACGATATGCTTAGTTTGCAACTTCTTGTTCCTCGTCTCTCTTGCTATTTCTCCTTTACAATCGCATTCTGTTTTAACCTTATCTCCCGGATGTGTGCGAATATTTTGATGTTTGAATTGTCGTGTGTACGTGCGCGCGCGCTTTCTTAAAGTTCCTTCTGTATTGAAGTTCTCCTTTTGTTTGGATCTTATTTTACGTCCCACTAATGAGTTTCCATTACTCGTGTGTTATAAGACATTCGTTATTTCAAATAATCGTGATTATTTTATCACTAATAGCGCCTGTTATCCTTCTTACGTTTTATAAATTTATGAATCATTTCTAAACACATCCGAAAGATTTCGAATCATTTCGAAAGTCTTTGGATATTTCTCCTCTACAAATTGTTTATAATTCTTTTTTTTTTTTGTGAAACTACTTTTTTTCTTCGAAGGTCTTGACAAATTATTAAGAAAATATAAGTTTCATGAATTAAAAGCTATTTAATTTTTAATTATTAATGTAATTTTCGCGTTAATTTTCATTTGTATTAACTCTTAATTTTTATTTGCATTAATCGTATTTCTAATACGTACAAGAATTAGAGAATTATTATTAGAGTTATTATATTTAATATTAAATATATTTGTAAAAGGAATGCGTAATGTATTCCTATAAAAGACAGGAATTTATTTGATCTGAGATATTTGAGATAGAATTTTATATTGTTATGTATAAACATAAAAAAAGTTTTGTTAAAAATATACAATATCAAACTTACAAAATTTTTGGTCAGTTTATAATGTTTAAATCCATATACAACATAATGTTCAACTAAACTCGGTCAATCTTCCAACTTTATTCAATATGCAGGTGTAAATTTAGAAAGACGAAATTAGAAAGGCCAAAAGAGTTTCAATATTATTTTATACACAATAAGTTATATACTACATACTTTTATTCGATTATATTTTATAATAACATATTTCATACATATAAGACGAAAAATAATATGCAATATATTAAATATAAGATACATACTTATAATATAATCTTTTATTTCGTATTTGTAAACTTTTAATTAAACTTATAACATCATATTGATTAAAAATCAATAAATCATCATTATTTTGTATTACGATTTTATTAAAGGCATATTACTAAGTTTTAAATTCATAAAAATTATAAATTATCAAATAAATTATAATGTTATTGTCTGACAGAAATATTTATTTAAAAAATATTTTATATCACTCATAAGAAATTTTTCCATTGATATAAATATTTTACACATAAATGTTTGTTTTAAAAAAAGTATTGTTTAATCATTAGTACAACTATTTTCTGCTTCCACTTAAATTGTTTGAAACAATTATAAAACTTACATTTTTGAGATACAACAATTTTATACAAACTATAATATTATATTATATTATTTCATACAAATTAGCTACGAATACGCTGTTTAAATATAAAATTCAAAATTTATAGGAAATATCTTCTCGCAGCAATTACAATTGAAATTACATAATGTATAATGTATATATAATCGTGTATATACAGTATATATACTATACATAAATTATACAGGCCTATAAAACAAGGTACATATTGTATTAATGTATGTTTTGTGGCTTAAATTATGATTGTTAGTCGGTCTGTGAACTGTTCAATTACATCACGTGTAGTTGGAATGCATAGATTGTTTCAATCAATTGGCACTCCGGTGCCTCTGGAACTTTCGTAATGGGAGAATTATGTTGCCAGGCCATTCGTAAGACGACCCTTGACAAACGATTATGAACTATAATCTGTTTACAAAGGCTGATTTTATCCGAGTCATATGTACGAATCGTTTTATTTTCATTCTGAGAAATGAGCATCATTACCGACATATACAGGTCTCTGAAAGTTTCATACAAAAATCGTACTATGAAACAACTTTACTCTGCACATCGCGCATTTTTCCCTGCTTTATCGTATGTCCAGAAATATTCCGGATCGATATTCAGGACATAAAACATCGATAACTTTGTTATCGTCGACACGACTACCGCGTGTCGTATAATCGAACTTCCGAGATTTTAACAAATATTTTTTTTCTTTTTTTTTTTAATGTCATATGTAACAAAAATTTGTTAAATTTGATGAATTTGTAAACACAGGACAATATCGTGTATTATATATATTTAACATTATCTTCCATAAGAAACCATGGAAAAAGAAGAAAACAGAAATATAGTAACAGTTTTTGCTACATAATAATTCAATTTTTTACAATATTTGCTGTTGATATTCACAGATAAAATGATATTCACAGATAAAATCGACAGATAAAATAAAATCAACTTATTTTTAAAATATTAAATGGAATTCAGTCAACAGTTTAACCTATTATTCATAAAGGGTGATAGTTGAACTCTGTCCAATACTTAAACTAAATTGGAGTGGAATTGGCCTGTGGGAACGATCATCGTCATGCATGTACAAACCAACATAATAGGCATCATCAACAAATACCTTGAAATTCCGTGTCCCTTTAAAGTTTCGCAAACATTCAAAATAACTTAAAATTATTACCGTTTTCGAACAAATTTAATATTACTGTAACTTTTTTTGTAATTAATCCAATTTACTAAAAAATATATATATATATCAAATAATAATATTTAAAACTTCTTATTTACGTACACCGTAGAATAATAAATAATAAATTTATTATATACGTCAAAAATGAAAAGAAAGGTTAGTATTCAACGCACATTTTGAAAATATTGGAATCAAAATTAATTTATTAAAAATATTAAGTCTTAAGTATGTATATTTATACGTAATATATATTAATAATTATGTAATTATACGTATGAATAATTAGTAATTATATAATTATTAATTAAAACAAACTTAAAAATAGTACTTTAATATTGTTGTATAGCTTTTATATAGCTTTTGTAAACAAATAAATTATATACTTGAATATTTATCATTATGTACCTATTAAACATTCTTTTACATATATAAATTCAATAAAAACTTGTCATTAATATGTTATTTGTTTGCAATTACTATACCATATTAAATAATAATATTATGTATTGAATGATTTTTAAAAGTTACGTAAAAATGATGTCAATGATATTTATTATATTTAAGTTTAACGTTAGTTTTCATTAAATTATACAATTTTTTGATTCTAAATGAAAATATGATATAATTCTTGTAATTGAATTATTTTGTATCGTTTATATGTATGATTTGAAAGTAAGAATATATTTTTCATAATATTATGCTTCGAATATTTACAGCAATATTGTTTATGTAAATTTTATAAATTATTCGATAAAAGTTTTTCTAGTATTTTCGCTATAAAAAGTTTGCCAAATGAGTTACTAGTCTTGTAGTTTTGAGTATTTGAGAAAGAAAAGACAGCTTTTAACAGTTTTAATCTTTTTTAATTATTAATATCGTGTTTATAATACTATCAATTATTGCGTGTGTATATATATATATATAGTGTATGTGTGTATATATGTATATAAAATTCTATATAAACATACTCATATAGTCAATGAATTTTCTTTTCAGGAGTATGTAATGTAACAAAAGAAACTACGTATAAAGAATTTTTATTAAAATGTCAAGATATTTGGAAAGAATACAAACAATATTAAAAAATGCAGATAGTAAAAAAATTACAGATAAAAGGGTATGTGTACATATGCATTTATGAACTATTATAATATGTTACATGTGATATAATATTTCTTATATTATTGAATTTTGAATTTTATCAATTTGATAAGTGATCAAGAAAAATTGCATTAATTAAAATATTAATGCTTTAAATATTATTTACGATGTCTCACCGTATGAAAGGTAGCATTATCTCTATAAATTGCCATTTTAGAAATGCGTTGTAAATTTATTAGAACTATACGAGAATGAAGAAGCAGTAGTAGAAGTTTGTAAAAATACTGAAAGAAATGAAACAAAAGAAGGTATTATAGATTGGTCATATATAGTACATACTGTTCATAGGATATTATTAAATGTAAGTATATGTCATATAAAATATAATCAAAATAAATCTATTAAGAATAATCTTATTATTATTGTTTTTATTCTTATTCAAGGAAACAGATAGACTTGCTAATAAAGATACTTGTAATAAAATAATAGTAACTGAACGAAATAATACATGCATACTTGTACAAAAAACATTTCAATATGCAAGTTGTTATAAAGTGCCACTATTAAAATGCAAAGATATAATGCCTTTAATTTTGCAAATTCTAGGAACAAATATATATGAACATTACCATGATACTTATTTAAATGTGCTAATTTCTTACATACTTCCATTTAGAACATATCAGGTGAATATGGTACCTAAGCATTGGGAAGAACTGTTAAAAATATGTATAAATTTATATAAACGTATGTCTTCTCTCACAAGTAAAAGAGCTGTTTTGAATGCCCTGCAAATGATTATTGAGTATGGTTGTTTGTATTCGAATTTATTCTTAAACGTAGAAGAAATACTATTGTTTTTAGGTATGTAAAGTAACTTTTAAAATAAACTTTTTAATTAAAGTTTGGTTAAAAATGTCTAATTTATCTAATTTATATTTATAAATTATTAATCAAGAATCATTAATAAAGTATGCTATAATTTTTCCTAATTTTAGAAAGTATTTTGCTCGATGTAAAATTAAATGAAGAAATTTTGGCTGAATCTGGCTATAAACTTACAAATATAATATGTCAACAAATTGCAATAGAATATAGAATTACATTGTGTCATTTTAGTGAAAATATTTTGCCAAATATAATCAGCTTAAAAGGTTCTACAGAGAAATACAAACTTGTACTATTTTTTGTAAAAGTTCATCATCCTGAAGGAGTACACACAACCTGTAATGGTGCTTATTCTTATGATTGGAATAAGTGGCACGTAATTCTTAAAAATATATATCTAATGATTTTGAAAGATCTAAAAGCAGATATACTTGTAAAGAGTTTTCTTTGGCTTGCAGCTGAAGGTAATATATTTATATCTTTTTTAAAATAAATAATATAAAATAAATTTTATCAATTATTAATTTGAAATATATATCATTGTTCTAGTTTTTAAACAAATAATAGAAAATCCAAATTTGATTATCGAAGAAAAATTATTTAACGAATATGATTATATACAACCGGTAAAACGCAGACGAATTGCTGCCAAAATAAATGGACCAGTTGATATCCTTATGGATAATAATCCAGAAGAAGCTTGGCCCATGATACAAATTTTAACAATATTATTTAAACGATATCCTGAATGTTTAAAATCAGAAGATTATCCGATATTCTTAAGAATCTTAGTAAATCTTTTTAGGCTATCTCGTAAAGAAGAAAATATTATAAATAATTTATATGAACTAGCTGCTGTTTTATTAGTGAATGAAAAAATATATTCTGTAACAGATATAGAAAATTCAAACATTTACTGGGATCAAATATGGGATATTCTATTAAGGTATGATATTATAATATTTATATTATATCATATATTTATTATGTGTTTTACACTTGTTTAAAATGTTGATATCGTGTTTGTCCGTCAGTACTAACTTATTATTTTAGATCTTTGAACATAAATCAGAATGAAATATCAACTCATAAACTCACACAGCTTTTTATAGTACATAATAAAATAACAAATCCAAATGCACTTCTAAAACTATATTTGACAAATGTTATTAAATGGTCTATTATGAGTGTTCGTACATTGATAATAGTATGTGAACATTTACCTTTGCCTACTGATATGACAGTGTTTAATACAAATGTACATTCATCAACAATGGATACAAATTCTGTTAGATCATGTCTTATAAAATGGATATTAAATATTCCTTGGCATAAAATGGCAACACAAATAAAAATTGACGAATTGTGTTTATTACTTATCAGCATAACATTAAAATCAAAACATCAAAAACAAATAAAATTCAATGAACTGAATGATATTAACAACTTATGTGACTGCTTAAGAAATGAACAAAATACTGACATATTTTGTGAACATATTGAACAATATTATTTACTATTAACATATAAAAAAAATATATTTTCCGAGGAAAGCAAAGAAAATTTTGAAGAAAAACCAAAAGTAAATCAACATGTATTATATATGGAAGATATTGTAACTTATTTAATGAACAGTTTACATAATATTATAAAAAATGAAAGTAAAAATGATGATCTTCATATAATTATAATAAAAATTGCGATAATAGGAAAAGTTATATCAATGATGAAAGAATTAAACATGGTATCTAAAAATATAGAAGAGTTGTCCTTAATACAGGCATTAAAAAATTATATAAATATTGCTTATAGTTCATTAGAGAAATTAAATCCAAAAAGCAAGTATACTTACCTTCTTAACGTAACGAAAGTACTTAATACGTTGTACGAAACATCATATGATGCTGATATAGCAAAAATAATTGTCACATCTACAACATTAGATATGTTGAAAAATATATTTAATTTAATGAATATCGAAGACAATGAAATTAGACGTAAATATTTAGATAGAGAAGTTATTCAAGACCGATGTGACTTTTGCAACAATGGTACAATTAGAATACAAACAACAAAAGCTTTAACATTGTTTTGTTGCATAAATGTAGAACAAAAAAGAAATGAAATTCAAGTAAAACTTATGAATAATTTGCTTAAAACTGATATGTATGATCTTTCACATACAGTTGATTCTGCAATGGCTATAATAGTTTTAAAATCTTTGTTAAGATACGACAAAGAAGAGTTATGGAAAAATCACGAAGAACTGCCATTGGAAAATCTGTTGAAATTGTATCGTGAATGTTATAAAGACGAAACAGTTATACGTTATATATTGAATATTTTTCCATATTTTTTTAATTATGCCATAATTTACAATTACCACTTGGACAATTTAATGAATATTATTGTCCAATTTAATAAGTTGCGATCTGAAAGAAGATATGGTTTTCTTGCTCATAAAGAATTTATTAAATGCCTTTCAGAAATTATTTATACCAGTCCTTCTCATTTTTATTACACACGTGATACTTTAATTCAAATGCCAATAATCGAAGGAATTTTATCATCTCTTAACAGTCCTTCATTTTTTGTTCAAGTGCAAATAATTAAATGTATACAAAGAATATATTCTTCAAAAAATGTTAATTTCGAAAGTAAAAAAATATTATTTACAGAAATAGAAAAGTCAATAGATAAATTGACTATTAATAATGAAAACAACGACAAAATAAAAATAGACAAGAAACAAGTTATAACAGCAAGTATTTCACTAATGCTTGCTGCCATAATATCTAGCAATGGAACATTTCAGTGTCATGCTTTATTAACAATGTTGCGCTTTACTATTGATAAAAAAGTAGAGAGTCAAATAATTTCAAGATCAATAGACACTATGTCAAATCAAATCAATTATGATTTGAACATCGTGGACGAAAATTTTAATTATTTAATGACATACTGGTTTAATTCTAAATATTCGTTACAATTATTTCCTTGGAATTTAACACGATGTGAATCAGAAGAACAATTTTATAAAACACATAGCAACATAATAGCATTTATTAAATTTCAAAATTTAGAACTTTCTAATGTTATTTCCTTTTGCAATTCTATTAACTTATCATTCGAAGAAACCATTGAAAATATTTTTCCACAAATTTTATCATGGTTATTATACTGTATTAGTGGAAATAATGAAAATATATCAGAGGAATTGGCATGTAAAGTGTTTCAAAAATTAATATCAAATGAAGATGAATTCGCTAGAACAAAGAAATTTTCTAATTTATTTAGAGATAAATTTGAAAAAATATTAATATTTCTTATTGAAAGATTACACGACGAAGATTATCTTGAAGAAATATTAGGAGAAAGAATATTATTTGCAATATCAGATCCTCCTCATTTTAAGAAGGAAATAATAATTATTTGTTTAAAGTACATAGAAGAAAACTTTTTGATACAAAAGAATTCTATACAATATGTTTTAGTATGTAATTATCCAAGTACATTGCAAAGAATATTATCACATTTAATTAATAATGTCTATAAAAGAGAATTCGAGGAACATAAGATAAAAGCTTTTCATCAATACTTATTTTTTTGTACATTAATTATTAAAGAGTTGAAACAAGAATATTTCAATACACTATCTATATATGTCATAAAAGATGTTGGTTACAATTTACTTCATATAATTAAATTACACGATGATATTCTTCGTAAATTAGCTTGTAAATATTTTTACGAATTTGTAAAACATATTTTACGTGCAAGAAGTGAACAAATCAAGGAAATTCTGAATTTTACTGTTATGACTTTAACTCCTATAGCACAAACAGAAAAGATGCCGATAACTTTAGAAATACTTAAATTCTTAATAATTGATCAAAAAGAAATATTATACGATGCAATAGAGAAATTGAATTCATTTCCAAACGTACCTATATTTCTAGAAATACGAAAAGTTCATAATAGTTTGAAATATAAAGCAAATAAAATTTATAGTTTAGAACAAGAAATACAACATTTTTTATGTACAGTTGCTGATAAGGATATATATTATAGCATAGAAGATATTGTTCATTTACAAATACAATTGTCTACAAGAAAAGAAGAATTACGAGAATTATATGCTAAACTTGAAACATTTCACGGATTCTTTGAAGATTGTACTTTAAGCATGTTGCATCAGCTGATATATAAACTTATAAGACTGACAGCATCTTCTGATATAAATGTTTCAATTGAAGCTGTGAAATGTTTAGGCGAATTAGGACCAACTGATTTGACATCAATGATATACTTTGAGAAAAGTCACGTTCAAGAATCTTCTGACTTGATAGAAATACTATCATATAAAATAATAACAATAATGGTACAATTTTTATTTCAAAGTGATATTGAATTTCGAAAAATTAGTGCTAATATACTGCATGTTATATTTTCGTCTTCTTGGGGACAAAAGCTGTTAAATACTAAATATATGGAACATATAAAAACTGTTTTGAACGAATCACAATCAATATTACCTCTAAGTTATATTCAGCCATTTATAAATAACAAACATTCAAAAATGAATAACATTGATATAAACTACACAAAAGTTTATGACATTATAAATCCAGATAATACTATTTGGACAATTCAGTCTGATGGATCATATACTAGTTGGATTGTAGCATTAACATATAGTGTTCTAGACTGTTTTACAGGATTTTATTCTGAAAATTTGATTCCCATTTGTACATTAAGTACTGAATTTTGTGAAATAATTTTACCAAGAATTATCTTTTTAATACTTTATATAGATAAACATTTTATGAGTACTATATGTTTATGTATTAATAAAATTTTTGAATATCATTTTAATTTTACAAATAATTTAGAAACGAGCATTTCTTCACAAAAATTTACAAATTGCGATCATCGTATCGTATGTTGTATGTTGAATATCGTGAATTATATTAGAATGCAAGTTTCAAATAATGTTTTAGAATTGAATTATATATATATTGCAAAAGCTGCCAAATATTGTTCAGCATTTTTTACTGCAATATTATATGCAGAAATGTCCTGTGAAACTATCTTAAATGATTATAACAAATTTCAAACTTCAAAAATTGATTATGTCTATGAAATATCACCTGAAGAAGGAAAAATAATACAGAATATACTTAGAGATTCTTACGCCAAAATAGGTGATTTTGATGCAATTGATGGTACTGGTTCTTCACATTTACAAGATTATTCTAGTCGTATTCGGCATTATCTACACACAAATAAATGGGATAAAGTAATGCTTGCACAAGATGTTGAACTTTCTTCTGGAAATATGGCAGTAATTAAAGGTGTGTAATACAAAAATTCAATTTAGCACAATATTATAAAATGTTTACATTTTTAACACTTTATTATTTCAAAATATAAACAATATCTATATGATAAAGTTTAAATAAAATTAAAATGATATTTTCGTTATAACTTCAAATTATATATAGTGCATTATATATTTCAGAAATGGCAAATGGATTATACCAATCTGGTCTTCAATATTTGCTTAGCAATTTTATATCTACTATGTCAAATAATGGTGCAAAAATAGATGAAGATATTCAATACGAATGTGCTTGGCGACTTGGTAATTGGAATATTTGCGAGACAAACCAATCTTTATATGCACAAAGTAACTGCAATTTAAAATTAGAAATAACTGAACATGATTATCATTTTTATCATTATCAAGCATTAAAATATTTTCACGAAGGCAATAAAACGGGTATTCAGGATGCAATTCAGAGTGCTCGCATAAGTATTATTAAAGCTCTTAGAAATATTAGTCTAGGTAAGAAATATTAAAGTTCTCAATGTTTAAAACAAAATTTTTCAATATTTAAATTTAAAATTTGATTATTTTAGAAAGTAGCAAAACTATATACGAAAAGTTAATGCAATTACAATTAATTAATGAAATTGAGGAATTAAACTTTGCCAAGCAAGATGAATATGACAAAATTTTGTACAAGTGGCAACAACAGGATGTTGCAAATTTTAATGAATTTGAATATATTGAACCCATTTTAACTCAAAGAACTATTATGTTTCAAATAAATAATACTTTAACTAATAATGTAAATATTAAGAGTGCACTTTTTAATACATATTTACAAATATCAAAAATAGCAGCAGATAAAGATAATTTGCATTGTGCTACACGTTCATTAGGTATATATAACAAAGATTGTTATAATATTATATTAAATATTCAGTTGCAAAACATATTTTTTTTCTTTATATTTTTTATAAAGCCATCTTAACAAAGCAAAAGGATATACCACCGAAAATTCAAGATCAATTACTTTATCAAGAATCTCTGTTAGCACGACTTACAAAAGATTTAGATATTGGACGATTCCTTTTACGTAACTTGATGCAGAAGGAAACTTTAGATGCAAATTTGCGAGCGCAAATATTAAGAGTTTACGGAGATTGGATGGCTGAAACGAAATCAGAAAATCCTCAGGTGTGTATCACGTAGTAAAAATAAATTAAATTACAAAATTTTTAAGTTTATTTAGTATTTTACGATTTATTATCTTTCAGATTGTAATACAAAAATATTATTTGAAATCTATAGATATAAACACATTGATTAATACACAAGATACCGATAGTATTAAAGATTTACACGATACACAAGTAGCTTTAGCTCGTTTTGCTGATAATCAATTTCAACAAATTAGTTCGTATATAAATTCTTCTCAATTTGAACATCTGAAAGAATGTGTTACATACTCTGATAAAGGAATTAATGTACATTCAATTAGCGAGGATAAAGATATTAGAAGTGCAATGATCTTAAATCAAAGACAAAATACAAATGATGTTGCAGAGCTGGAACATATACAAAAAGAAAGAGATAATTATTTGATTTTAGCATTAAAGTGAGTTTTACGTTTTCACAAAGTTTTTTAATGTACAAATAAAATATTGTTCATTAATTTAACATTTTTATATTTCACTTATTTTACGTAGGTATTACTTAATAGTATTACAGCAAAGTGAAAATTATAATTTGCTGATATTTAGAATAATTGCACTTTGGTTGGATAATAAAGATCAAAAAGAAATTAATGATTTATTACAAGAAAATCTTAACGGAATACCATCTTTCAAATTTATTCCACTTGTGCCACAATTAGCTGCGCATATGAATGATAATTTCAACAAATTTTCTGAAAAAATATATAAAATTATGCAACGTTGTGCTTTAGAACATCCACATCATACGTTACCAGTATTATTGGCGTTAAAAAATTTACATGGTGATTACGAGTATAATACAGTTAGAAAAAATAAAATACTAGAATCAAGAGTTCTTGGCGCACAAAAATTGTTGCAAGAATTAACAGAATCAAATATAACTCCAATTATACAAGAAATGGAAAAATTATCACATGCTTTAGTTATGTTAGCCAATCTTGCAACTACTTCAAGCAAACGTAAGTAAATACATCATTTACCAAAAACATAGTTTTATATTAATATACTGTGTAAAATGAACACCTTGTACATTGTACATTAATGCATGTAAACAGATTAATCCTATTATATATAAACAGACAGAATTTTCATTTTTAGCAGGTTGTAAAATCAAAATACCAAAAAATCAAAAAATTTTAAAAATTAAAAATTTTGAGAACATATTTATACTAACATTAACAATTGATGTACGGCCGCTTAGAAATTACAACAATGTTATTGGTATTGCTAAATATACAGAATCATATGAAACTGTTGGAGGCATAAATACTCCAAAAAAATTAACTTGTATTGGCACAGATGGCACACATAGATATCAATTAATAAAGGTATATTGTTAAGTACATTTTATAATATTAAAAAGTATTTATTCATTTATTATAATATCAAATATCAAACTCTTAATTATTTAAATATATTTTTAGGGAAAAGATGATTTACGGCAAGATGCCGTGATGCAACAAGTTTTTAATGTAATGAATACATTATTAAAATCTTATAAAGAAACTAAACGTAGAAAATTAACACTTAGAACTTACAAGGTAATAATAACTTCATTTAATCCGAAATATGTGATATATCCGAAAACTGCCACAACTAATTTAATATATACACTTTCGTGAATTTTACAAAGAACATTCTAACATAAACAAACGGAGCCCCGTAGCAATTTTTGCATAAACATCTAAAGTCGATATATTAATCTGACAATGAAATTAATAAATTGTTAATATATCATTAAACATTTTTCATCGTTAAAAATAACTTTTATCAAATGAAATTAATTGTTTAAATAAATAATTATAAATTATTTTAGCCATATTAAATATTATTCGTTTTATATGTACGATTTTAGGTCGTGCCATTAACACAAAGATCAGGAATACTTGAATGGTGTAATAATACGATGCCTATTATAACCATATTGATAGGTTCAAATACTAATGCAGGACTTTGTAAGAAATATTATCCAAAGGATTATGCAGCAAATGACTGTAAAGAAAAATTAGCAGTAAGTTTATGTTTAAATAAGACTCAATTTCATGATTTATATGTATTGTTCTTATTTTGATTCGTAGTATATAATTTACAATAAATATATACTTACAACTTAGAAATTTCATTTTTAGGCAGTGGTAAAATCATCAACTGATATAAAATTGAAAGTATTTATGGATTGCTGCGCACATATGCATCCAGTGATGCATCACTTTTTTACTGAAAAATATCCATCACCTGAAACATGGTTTGAACGTAGATTAGCATATACACGCAGGTAGTAATATTCTTATATAATAATTACTTTAATTACATAATATTTAAATAATAATTACTTTAATTACATAATATTTACTTTAATTACATATATATTTAATATATATATATATATAAAATTATATCATTTATAGTGTAGCAACAACATCCATGGCAGGATATATTTTAGGATTAGGAGATAGACATTTAAGTAATATCTTAATTGACCAAACAACTGCTGAAGTAATTCATATTGATTTTGGTAAATATGATAATAATATAAATATTATATCATTAGTATTGTTAACTTTCATACTTTTATGTCAGGTATAGCATTTGAACAGGGAAAGGTATTACCAATTCCTGAAACCATTCCGTTTCGACTTACACGAAATATTGAAGTAGGAATGGGTGTATCTGGCATAGAGGGAACAATGAGACATTGTTGTGAAAAAACATTAACCGTATTACGCGATCAAAGACAAATAATCATAACACTGCTTCAAGTTCTTATATATGATCCATTATTTAAGTGGACTATAACCCCTGCTAAAGCACATGACATACAAAGTGGAACATCATCAAGATCAGTCGAAAATAATCAGTGTAAATATAATTTATATTTTTATATATTAATTTATATCATTATTATTATATTTAATACTATAGTAAATATAATACACTATATAATATTTATCTTAGCATTACGAAAAAATATGTAAAAAATATTTATCGTTAGGTTTTACAGCAACTAATAAAACAGCAAAAAGAGCTCTTTTAAGAATAGAACAGAAACTACAAGGCACTGAAGAAGGATTAGCATCTAGTGTATCTGGTCAAGTTGAGAGACTTATACAAGAAGCTCATGATCCTATTAATCTTTGTCGTCTATATTGTGGGTGGCAACCATATCTATAATTTTATATTTTATAATTAAAAAAAGTTTTTATCGAAATGTATAAATTTAGGAATTATTTTCCATAATAACTATTTTAAGAGTAAAATAAATTATAAACATCGTTCGTATTTTCAATTAATTTTTAATTTATTGTAAATTAGAAATATAAATATATACATATATAATGCATATAGTATAACGTACATAAAGAGAATTAAATTATATCATTATTTTAATAGGTTTAGCCTTTAACTTCAATAATTGGCATAATGCATTATTTAAAGTTAATAAAGAACCATTTTATATAAATATTAAAATACAATAAGATAACTTATACATCAAACATACAGAAAGAAAGGAATACGAAAACTCTACTATATTCTAATAATTTATTTTTATTATTAATGTACATAAGATTCGTAAAAATTTAACTAAAAAAATATACAGACGACAAAACTTTATTAATGTCAAAAGTACCTTTTGATGGTACATTGATAAAACAATTGCGTATTTCTTCCAAGTTAAATTTAGCGTTACATCCTTGTGTCCTGAGAACATATACTCAAATTGAAATATACATTTTATTACTTATAAAAATTTTAATATCGTTACATATAACGTTTAAATACTGTCAATATATTAATTTACATGCAACTGTATTAAAATATTACTTACATGTTAGCTGATAAATATCGAGTTACAAAAAATTGAGCCAAATCTTCCAGAATGGGTTCGGAATGAAGTGCAACAAATTGTTCTCTGCATATCTATAATAAATGATCATGTATGTATAAGAAAATAAGAAAAACATTTAAAAATTGAAGTTACGTTCATTTTATGTTTACTTTGTTCATAATATCTACAGTACAAGCATGAGTCCAAAAACAATCATGCACCGAGACAAAAGTAACGTTATTTTTATAACAATTCAGCCCAGTAAGCATCATGTGAGTGGAATCCAAAGAATGTATAAAGTTTGGTGCGAATGCATTACGCTGTTTCATTGTATCAGGTTTTCTATAAATATCAATTGCATTGATATTAGTATTAATATTTTTAAAAATTTTATTTTCGATTATTATACATTATATCATATATTTTATTATATAATATTGTATATATATCAAGTAATAAAAATTAAAATTAATTTGATATATGTATTTACAAAATTATATACTTTACCAACCCGTTGCCTTTACCAACACGTTTTTTTGGAAACTGTTGTTTCGTATAAGGTTGTACAACAGGAAGACCTAACGGAGTAATCCATTCCATATTTTGATAAAAATTAGAAGAAATAATTTGAGCACACTGTGTGAACCAATCTTGAATTTCCCTTGCACTTTTAAACATTTTTCTTAAACTGTGAAATGTATTTTCAGTCAAATATATACTAGCTTGCCAAACATATTCCTTTGGGAAGTTTTCTATATCTATATAAAAAATGTAAACATTAAAATATATTTTCGCTTTTTTTTTTAGTTTGTAGCAACATTCCTTAAATTTTTCCCTCTTCATTCGAATGTCCTAAAGAATAAAGTGAAATTTTTACCTTTTAACTGTTTTGCTATTTGAAGTTTTGCACCATATTTTGTTACACCATATACCGTCGTCATCACAGTTTGCTTTATAACTTTCCTTTTTATAAATCCTTCTAAAATTTGTGCAATTCTAACATTATTTTTTGCGTCGATTTGTCGTTGCGCTTCAACCTGAAATGTAACTGAATATATTTTCTACGAAAACAGTTATCTAGTAGACTGCAACTGCTAAATTTGTGTGATATAGTAAACTTACAATTGACACAACTTCGGAATACACATCTTTTGGAATATCAAATGGATGTAGATTAACACTTTCCGCACCAATTTGATCTTTACCAAGTGCCGCATAATGTTGAAGTCCATTACAACTTCCATCTTGATGAACTGGAAACGTAGATACATACTTTTCTACATTTAGTGCCTTCAATGCATTTGCTATTTCCATACATGCAGCTAAAGTTTGCCAAGGTTCTTCCGATTGTTTCCACCACATTTTACCCTTTACAATATAAATACCAATTCTATTCAAAATTATTTTGAATATTTTAATCAAAAAAAAAAATTGTATATATTTATGTAATACAAACATATACAAGGTGTTTATCTCGCAAAATGGAAACATCTCGTAAAGAATTAAAGTTACGAAGTTGCTTGGTATAAAAGGGCACATTATGTGGTATTAATTTTTGTCGGTTGAGTAGTAGAGGGCATTTTCAAGATCAATTTGATTTTCCTAAATGGAACTATAATTTTGAATACAATAATCGATTTATCTGAATATTTTCTATAAAAAAAATTTATTTATGTTGAAAAATCATTGGTTTGTAACGGTTTTTGTAACGGAACACCCTGTATATAATTGTAAATTTCTTACGGAACTATTTTATTTTATTATTTCTTTAATAAATTAAAATAAAAAACAATTAAATAAAATTCGTTATTTGAAATAATGACTTACCGTCAAAGGTTTCGTAGCACTATCAATTATATTATCCATATTTTCATTTGCATATTTAAGACGTTCTTTAAGAGACTCTCCTTTCTTAAAACTGGTTAAATTAATAACATGTAATTTTAACCAATCCAATCCATTTGGACCTAAAGGTTTTCCCTTCGCAAATAAAAGTAAAGAACGACCCAAATCAGATGACAAATGATTCAAGTATGGAGGTACTGGATAGACTCTTCCTCTAAAATCCAAATTATGTGGCAGCCAAAATATTTTATTCCTATACTTTAAAAAGATAAAGAAATCTTACTATACGAAATGGTATAAATATATAGAACGAAGCATATAATTACAAGACTAAACGAATTTTTAAATTCTATTAATTTTTAAACTTCTACCGTTAATACTACTTAACAATTTACTTATTAATAAAAAATTAAATACATACATGATTGGCAATAGATAACTTATAAAGAGTGTCGCACCACAGAGAATACATATTGTCTTTCTTTTGAATATATTGAGCTTTTGCTAGTGCTGCTTTTTGTTTCTCTTCGACAGTAGCATTCTTACTTACGGGATTTGGTGGAGATAATACCGAAATTGATTGAGGAACTTTTAATTCTGCAGAACCACCATCTTGAAAAATCTTGAAAAATTAAAGAAGATATATAAGTAGAAATGATTTGTAACAGTAGTAATTCATATTTATTATCAGTGAGAAACATTTTTCGATTATATATCGAAAGTGAAGACATATTTCAATATCAAAATTACCTTGATTACAATATCTAGTATGGCAGTATTAATTTTCCATGGTATAGAACTAAGCTGATTCAATGAATCAAATATAGGAAATAATTGCTCCGAGTCCGTAATTTTAAGTTGATGCCATGAACTGTTCTAAATAAAAATATCAGCATTATACATCTTATATACTATTGAACAAATGTGCTTTTAAATGTATATTCAGATTGTTTAGATCAATCAGTTTGATTAGAATTATATATTTTAAACTTATATTACTCAATAATTTGTATGTAAACTTAAGAAATAAATTGAAGCTTACAGAATCATTTCCAACTCTTATAAAATCAGTTTTTGTTACAAGATATCCTCCCGAATATATCGAAATCCATGGATTTGGTGGACCATAAGAAGGAAAAAAAAGTGTATCAAACGTTAATGTTTCTAAATGTGTTGTTTTATATAATTTTGATACTAAAGGATGAGGTTTAATCTGTAACATAAAAATATTAATAATTTAAATTTTCCTCTCTGAAACTGCTAAATATTAATAAATTTAATGATTTTTTCAAAACTAGCTACAAAGGTTGAGTACTATAAAACTTCAAATATTTAACAAATATTTCATACAAACCTCTTCCGACAAATAAGTTTCTTTGTTCCTGAACAATGTATAAAATGCAGGTATAGAATATTTTAAATCCTGTCCTTTCAAAATCTCAGGTTGAAGCATAATATCGTTCAAGATAATATTATACAAAAATTTGCCAATATTTACAATTACATCTATAGGCCAATTCAAACAGATGAAATTTAAAGGTGTACTGTACTTTGCTTCTTCACGTTCAAAATATTGCAACATGATACGATCATTCGTATTATTTAAACGTGCCATTTTTTCAGGATGTAAGTACCACTCAAGGTATTTCGAGTAAATACCAATCATCTTATCCAACACTCCATTTTTCTTCTTTCTTTCAATCTATAAATTAAGATTGCAAATTTAAACATATGTAGCAATTAAAATGATAAAGCAGACAAATATTTTATCAACAAATATATAAATATAATTTATATAAATAATATCATACCTCGTATCTCCTATAAATATATTTCCCTAATTTAATATTTAATAATTTAACAGACGCGCTAAAGTTTTCTGATCCGTTAGCCAATTGTTTGATCTCGCGTAACATAGCATTTATGTAGAATTTTTTATCCAGAACTTCCAAAAATGGATATAAAACCATTGAAGCATTATGAGATTGACATTCCTTTTGCTTTAAACACTTTAAATTCCTTTCAAACGCTGCTGATGCCACATTTCTCCAATATTTTTCTATTTCTGCAATTTTTTTTTCCTGGGATACAAAGTAAGGAAATGATTAATACAATATCGAATTTGTAATCTTTGAATGTAATCTTTAATTATAAAAATTAATATAATTTGAAATATTAAATAATAAAATATTATATAATCTCACAGAGCTAGTTTTTATATTTTTATCACGCAGTTTGATACTTGGTATCTCTATTTCAATTGCTAATTCAGTCTGAAGTTGCATTTTGAAACAACGTTTCAATTCTTCCATCGTTAACAGCCCTTCCACTGAACTTTCAGAATTATTTTCCATTAGATTATTTTTTAAAATTCGACATTTATAGTTTGTATCTAACGTAATATGTGATAACTTAAAGTCTGGCATTAGTATCCTGATTACTTTTAATATATTTTTTTCTTGATCAATTGTAAAATATGATTTAAAGATATCATTGAAAGATATATTGTAATCATTCATTTCAATATTTAATTTTTTTAATAATTCTACAAATAAAATACACTATTAGAACATATTTTTTTATAAATGTGAAAGTAAATAGATTAAAAATTTATATAACAAAATATTACCAATTTGTTTATTATTTACAGTTTCTCTTCCTAAAGCATCAAATATATATGCATATGTTTGGGATGTTGGTGTTAAGGAATCTTTTTTTATCATATTATACAACTCTAAAACTTTTCCTATTTTTTTTTTAGAAGCATATGCTTCCAAAAGCATGTTATAAAGTTTAATGCTTCCATTATTTTTAAAATTTTTTTGAGAATTTTTCCTATATATTACTAAGATTTTATTTGCTCTATTTAACAATCCACAAAATAAATAAACATCCATATATGCCAATAAACTTTCAACATAATTTTGTGTTTCATATTTATTTTTAATTTTTTTTTTTACCAAGTTCTTTTTTTCTTGTAGTTGTATTCTATCTAATGTATTGTATCTAAAAAAATTTTGTTTATACAATTAATATTAATTAAAACTACAAAATACTACAACATCAATTATATATATAAAATTTAATAAATACTAATGAAATATTTAACAAAACTACAATACTCGACAAAAATTGAATTAAGAATTAAAAGAAAAAAGAAAATGAAAATTTTTGTATTTATTATATTTTCTCATAATTTTTAAATATTTTTAAATATAATAACTTTTAAAGTAATTAAAACTCAGTAACAAACATTTTAATTAAGAAAACTTGATACGATGTATAATGTAGAGATGAGAAGTCCCATGAGATGGCAAAAGAAAATATTTCCCTTCGTCACTCACTAACACACTTGGCCCTGTTTGTCTATGTGGTACTCAAAAGGTTAGACAAGTGACAATACCTGATTCCTTTTTGACCCCAAGCATCACCGTTCGAACGTTAAGAATGTGTTGGATCTCTTGGAAACAACTAATCAAATTTATATATGCTTTTCCCAAGGGACTTTCTGTCATCTCTGCAGAGTACATTTCTTTATCCATTTACAAAGTTAAAACAAGTTAATAAAAATAAAGTTATTATTAAATGACTAGCATAATGAAACAACAAATATTTTGAATCTTTCTCTTATAATAAAATTAAAACTATATATATATATATATATATATACACACATCATAGATCATAATAATATTATAATATTATAATATTATAAAAAACATATACATACTTTTGACGTTTTTTCATTTTGATTTTTTCAGCAATATAAAGCGAAGGATTTCTTTGTAGAATATTATTTTTAATTTCATTGTCAATATTCAAGTTATTAAAGTCTTCTCTTTTGTTATGAAATTTTTCGCAATCTTTCATTTCTTTTTCATTAACTATATTTACATTTTTTTCCTGTTAATGAATTATAAAATAAGAAATGTATAATCTTGTTACATTATAATATTTAAATAATAAGAATCTTTTAAATACTCACTTTTTACAACAAAATTTATTATTAAACTAAATTAATATATTCGACTTACCGAAACAAATTATTTTGTCAAATCAATTCAATTTATTTTTATCAATATTCAAATTTCTATATATTTTTAAATTTTTAGCTTTAAATTTTTATAGCTTTAAATTTTTAAATAGCTAAAAATAATTTGAATCAATAAGAAATAAATTAGGGCAACTTACAGTATTTAAATAAATTTCAGTATCACAAAAATTATAATAGTTCTCATTTATATAATTTGAATTCAATTGTTGCTCAAGAGTACAATTTTTATTGTCACATAGTTTGTTTGCGGAAATGTCAGAATCATCAACAAATGTAGAAAGATCAGATGCTGTTAATTTTTGAACTTCAGTCCTCTTATTACTTGCTGCATTATTTGTTACTGTAATAAAAAAACATAATATTGAAAAATAGTTTGAAACATACTTATAAAGGTATAAATTTTACCTGCTAACAATTCGGCATATTTTTTTGTTTTTCGCTTGACTTTTTTCTTTATTGGTAAATGATCTAATATATTTACTGTTGTATTATAAGTACGAAGCTGATGATGTTTTATAGCTACAAATAGAATGAATTATATTCATAAAATATATTAACAAAAACAATTGAAAGGTACCTATACATAAATGTAAAATATTAAATTGATATTTTATATTTTATGATAATTAAATATGTTCAGTAAATATTAAATGGTGTTTAGAAGCAAATATAGAATACTATGTCAAATATTCATTAAATTCAAATAAATTTTGTATTTTTAATATAATCTTACAAAAACTTTATGTTTATATAATAATTTTTGCTTATTCTTATCCACAGAATATATTAAAGTTTGACTATTAAATCCTAGAACATTATGTATATATGTAATTCTTATTTGCACGTATTTCTTTAGTATATAATCCTATACTATTAATTAAAACAAATAATTCAATAATAAAGGAAGAATATAAAAAATTGAATTAATATAAAAAGCAAAATCAATATTCTTGCATCAAGGAATATAAATAATCGAATTGAAGTTAACTTTTGGAATTACTTGTCAATATGATTTTCACTTTGCTTATATCGTCTTGCACTGTCAGGGATTAAATCTTACATTTTTTATTTCATGTAAATAAATAGTATGAACTTTTTCTGTGTACCCTCATTATGAAACAAAAATCACAAATACTTTTTGATATTACGTTGAAAACCTTCTTACAAATCATACTTCACAATATCGCAAAACAGTGCACACAAAACAGCTTATTTCAAAAGAATGATTTCTGGAATATTATCAAAATTTTCTTTTCTGTTCGAACCACTGAGTTTTAGAAAAAAAAAATTAGTTTTCGCATGAAACAACATAACAATGACAATAATAATAATAAAATCTGTTAACTATACTGTTAAATCTGATCTTGGCCAGATAAAAACAAAAATATTACAAAATAATCACCGCAGAAATAATTACATGGGAGAAGCTGCAAGCTTTCACGTGTACTTGTTTATTTAATATAAATATTATACAAAAGAGAAAACATTATATACCGTTTGAATTCTCCTTTAAATATTTTAGTGTTATAACTCATAAATACTTATAAACAAAATATTTACAAGCTTATAAATATTTTAGTATTTAGTAAATTTTACACATTGTCACGTTGACTTGATGCGATAATGTGATAAGTAATACAAGGCTTTAACCTGTTAGTTATTTATTGTTAGTATTGCCCTGTTTTAAAAGTGTATACTTAAGCTGCATCGCAAAAATAAAGAGACGACGAGTATACTTGTCGTAATATAAAAACACTGCCACTTCTCCGTGACGAGTGTACTCGTCATTCTTGCCGCAGCTAATAGGTTAAGTGACAGAAATTCTAAAAAAAAAATGCGTCCTCATTGTAAATTAAATCGTACAAACGTACATTTCGACATCTTTCCGTGGTGAAAGTTGCAAAAAGAACACAAACGCATTGACCGCTGCACGATTATTTGCTTCGGTATAAAGAGAACACCATGTGGAGATATACGTTCCGCAACTCGTGTAGCTAAATGTTTGTACATCTTATTAACGGAAAATTAATCGCCAATTACGTAGCAATCGATCATCTCACGACCAACAATTTCAATAATTTCACATAAGAAAATTATCATTATACATGATAAAATAACATAACCCACAAAACGGGAAACGGCGTTTCATATTTACTTTGTGAAATGAAAACATCCAGTTCATAGATGGCAATACCGTTCTATGTTCTACTATATTCTATTAGATAAAATAAGAAAAAATTCTATTAGATAAAATAAGAAAAAAGTTTGTTCTCTAATTTAAAATTTCATACTCGTTCAGCCAAAACTCGTAATTGAATATAAATTTATTAAAATCATATTGTTAAATAATATAGAGGGGATTTCAAACTTAATAAGATCAAGCTCGCCCAAACTGCAAGGGCTTGATCTGCGCATAAAAAGAAGAAAGAGTACATTATATAAAATTTTTATCAAGGAACACAGTTATAAACAAATATTAATATATATACATCATTTAGTACTATGTTGCAATATTAATCATGCTTATACAATCCCTTAGAGGGATTAATGAAAAAATAAAATAATGGATTACAAAATATAAAAAAACCAATTTATTAAAATACAATTGTTTAATTTTCTTAAATTATAAAGAGAAGACAAAATTTATGACGAAAAATTAATGATGTTCATACTTTATATGGAAAATTCATAGAGAGGAAATGTACAAATAACAATTGGCAATTATACAGTAACAACAATTTTTATGTTTTACTATATCAAATGATTAATAGTAATTTGAACTCTTTGATATTATATAATGAATAAATTGTTTATACTATTTAATGTTGTATAAATATATTGTTTGTCAATATATTTATAGTGATAAATATTTATTTCCGGGATGTCCCGAACTTAAATGGTCAAACTACGAGGATTCGATACGCGCGTAAAAAAAAAAAATGTATAAAGCTTGTCAAGAAGATGATTTGTTACAGATTTATAAATAAATATGAAATATCGGGACACACGTATCGAATTAATTCTTTTTATTGAATTTCAAATCATTGAAATAAAATTGTACAACTGAGATTTTTTTTTTTTAAACGACATTTAAAATTATTTTCACTCTAGTAAAAATGCATGAATTTAAGATATTTTAAATAACTTTGAGTTGTTGAATCTGTCTAACGACTTTAATTTTATTTTTTATATCATATTGTGTCGTACAGCATCGTGTCGTAATGTGAATGTTTAGAATTTTCAGAAATGTTAATTCTTAATTTCCAGTATCTTTAAATTCATTGAGTAAAATTATAATGCGTATAATGTTCAGAATTCCAGATTGTTATTTTTTATCCTACTTCGATAGGTTTCCTTAATAATACGCTAGATAGCGTCGGAACACGAAATATTAATAGGTTAACCCGTCATTGTGAAAGTTTGCTACTTAGTGTTCATTCGTAGATATTACGAATTTATGAAATTAAATTTTATATGTTGGATTTCGAACAAGAAAAGCTCTGGTTGAGGTACAATTACATAAAAATTCAATCTTTCATGCCGGAACACTACGTCTCTCCTCGAGGTACCAAAAATAGCCGCTGCGCGTCGCCACGAAGCACCATATACCTAGAGCTCAGTTTTTTAAAAATCCAAATGGGGACTTACCTAACGATACTGCAATCACTTCTTCGTTGATCGAATTGGAAACAGTGCGTTCTTCTTTACTTGAGTGCTACGAAAAAGGTTGAAGTGTACTTTTTTTGTGTAAGTAAAACTCCAACTTCCGTTTTTAAGAGATTGTCACAGCATGTTTGTCTCTATTAATAACATCATCTTCGTTCCAATTTTTTTTTCAGCAGTTACAAATTACTTTTCACTTAACGTACGTCTCCTTCGCTGATCATTGAATTTCATACAAAACACTGTAGAAAATACTTCTTTCTGTTAAATGAAACGTACAGATGTGTGCAAACGTATCTGTGTTTCATATTGAAATCACTGTATCAACAAGTTCGTTATGAAAGTTCAACGTTTTCCATTATTGTTTACAAATAAAAACAAATACTTTTTTCATTCTTTTTTATTACATACTTTTATATCAATAAAATAATACTTGACTAAAATATACAAAACAGTGACGGTGATTTTAATTAAATTATACATCAAATTGTTTTCATTTTGAATTATTAAATGTCGATCTTAATTTTAAAATGGTGGCCAACGTAATTGTCATCGTTATTTAAAGTGATATCTATTTTTTAAAAAAATTATAACACGTGCGCGGTACTTTTGATCCTATAAACAGCAATATGTACTACAAAATAATTAATTCGTAACGGCATTATAAAAGTGTAATAAAATACATATACAATTCGATGAGAAAAATTGATCTAATAAATATATAAATCGATCTTTATTTTTTTTTCTTTTTTTTTTTCTTGTTACAAATAAAATACACGTACGTAGGCTGTTATTCAACATGTTTTAACATGCATAAAAGCATATTTATATCTGGCAATTTTTAATACTCTTTCTTTTTATAGCGTTATCATTGCTTCGAAACACCACTGCAATGCGAAAAAATTTTATATACAATGCAATTCAGTGAAATTTAAAAAAAAATGTTATTTCTGAACCGCACGAAGAACGTTAAAGAAATTGCATGAAACGAAAATATTTTGTTCTATCAAAATGAAATTGTATTAACGGCAACGTATTTTATAGCTGAAATAAAAATATATTCCCGCGATGGATCAAAATAATAGTTTATCAGAGGACATTTTACTGAATATAGTTATACCATATATACTTAAAAAAATATATATATATACTGTATATAAAAAATATTTGTAATATTTACGAATATACTGATACAAAAATTAGATTCTGCTGTACTAGAAACAGATGGTTTCATGTGTACCATATGGCATCAAACGGCACTTGATGTGCATCTGTAGATCTATAAATAGCTAAAATTTGAACTCTCTTTGTAACATGCAGTAAGGAAAAGTATTCTGACCTGGAAATTTTAAATACGAAATCAAAGTATATCATTATCATATATATATTATTAATAATATTAGGACGAAAAGTATGAAATAAAAAAAGGAGAAATTTATATATTTGAATTCCTTCTTTTTTTTCTCATTCATCTTCTATTAAATGCGTGTATGTGTGCAACACTTGTATGTTGCGCTCGTACATCGCACGCGTATTAACTTAATTGCGCACATAATTTGAACTATTTGTACGATTAAATATATTTTAAATAATAACATCAATCAGAATTATGTTTGATATTATTATTTTCACGAAAGCGATTTTATTCGTTAATAATTAAAAGCTGCAGTACGATAATTCATTAACAAAGATAGTTTATATCCTTATCCATCAGAGGGTCATCTCAGTAATGACCTCTTAACTTCTTATCTCAATAGCAACATATTCAATTAATTGATCAAGGGAAGTGTTTCAGTCGCATAGCGCGTACCTAATTTCGTAGCCACAGCAATTACACAATTTTGTTGAAATTATTTGAAAGATCCAATGGAACAATGAGAATATAAAAATACACGACGGGGGATATGAATAAAATTATCAGTATCATTGAATGAAATTAATATTTCTTGTTTCAGATAATTTTTTTTACATACAAGATAATAATTTACAATAGTTAAAAAAATGAAATATATGTTGATACTATTCCTGCAGTTACTTTGTACAAGTCTGAATAATGCTAGAGAAATTACGTAAGTTTCTTCTTTCACTATAATTAATCTATAATTAATCTGAATAAAATAATTTTATTTCAATAGAGAATATATATGACTGTGATGAGAAATAACATCGTTAATATCATCGTTTTGTTATCTATTATGAATATTTATCAATTATTTGTTATTGCAAATATAGTTGTTTAAATGCAACTTCTAGGCATGAAGATATTAAAGACGCAATGTTAAGTTTAGTACATATGATGCGAGAAAATACTGAGAAACTAGAACGACATGAGGCACGTGAACGTCAGTTGGGAGAACATTTAAAAAAAACACTTGCAGTATTGACAAAACGTATGTCAACTATTGAATCATTCAAAACAGAATTGGCTAAACTTGATGAGAAAGTAATAGGAATAGAACAGTTAATCTCTCAGGTATCTGATTAATTCATAAGAAATTGTTCCAAGCATCTTGATTTTGATGAAATATCTTGCTTTGCACATTTATCAATAGCTATAATTTATAATTAATAACACTATAGTTATTGATCGTTTATAATTGACAACTTTACTCTTTCTATAGTGAAATCTTATATATTGTAGTAATATATATGAGTAATAGTAATATATAATATTGCTAAAGAAAAATTCGTCCTCATTTCATTTAGAGAGATGAACGAGAAAGAATACAAATGCAAAAGACTCTTGATAGTTTAGAAGATTTGGAAAGTCGTTTAGAAGGATGGCTCACAGATATTGAAAATAAAGTATCAGAAGTAAATAATCGACCAGATACCACGTTACCACCACTTAATAATCATGGTCATATCATTTCAAAATTAAATGACACAGAATTAGTGTTGATGGAAAGAATTTCAAAAACAGAATCTTTTTTAAAATCTGAAGCCATAAAATTAAAAGAAGTCACAAATGTTCAATCAGGAACGATACAAGCATTGTTGACTGAGGTAAGTAACACGTTTGAATGTTTACTAAAAACTTTTATTAAAATTATATCTTCTCTAGATCCAAGATATTGGTACAAGACTTAGTAATCTTGAAGTTTCACTGGAAAAAATTAAGGAACAATCGCAAAACATAAAGAAGAAATTACAAGAACCAGAATCTGATGTGATTTCAAATATTGATAATTATGTAAAAATGTTACCTTCTATAAAGAAACGTTTAGATGATACTTCTGATCAAATTAAAGAATTGCCACAGTATGTATTACTTTTCTTAATAGTATTTTATTATGAAATGAAAAGATATGTTTTTTAAATGTTGAATATACAAACTAAAAGATTTAAATAATTCGATTCGAAATCTTTTTTTTGCAAATAAGAATTGACGAATTAAATTTTATTATCTAGAATTACTAAAATACAAAACTTACATAATGAAACCCAAATACTTTTGCAAGAAACTAAATATGCATTAAAAGATATTGTTACTAAGGGAGTTAACGACATTGAAAATAAATTAATGGAAAATAAAAATGAAACAAAAGATACTATAGGAGCTCTTAGGTATTGTATTATATAATAATACATTTCTGATACATTTTAATTATTTTAAAATTAATTTATTGGTATTTATGATATTTATTTACGATACATATAATTTTTATTATTATTTCATTTATATTATTTGCTTGTTCTGTTCATTTACATATTTTTACATAAAGTTTTAAGTATAATCATAATATATCAACGTAACATTTCTTGTATACATAATAATTTCTTTAATCTTAATTATATGTAATTATTACACAATAATTTATTTAATCTTTAAAAAAATATCATAAATAAATTATTAATTAATTAATATTAACCATTTTTTTAAATACGAAAACTTGATAATAAAAGCAATTTAATGAGAAATTTTCGAGATTTTAGGATGGATTTGGCAAATAATGCTGAACATGTAAATCAAGAATTAAATGATCTTGAAAAAGGACAATCTGTAATAGTATCGATGGCTGATCATGTCTTAGATACTAAAAGAAGAGTCGAGTATGGCGTGCATCAAATTCTTCTAGAGGTAGGAGATTTAGTAAAAGCGCAAGGTACAAATATTAATAATACTCTGAATCAGAGATTTGATGGCATATCAAATGATATTATGGACAATCAGAATGGAGCTTTAGCAAATTTAACTACTAAAATGGAACAAGAAATGAATCAGGTAATGATTAAAGATATATTTTTCTGGAAAACTATTCTTGAACATGTTGTAATTTTTTTTAAACAAAAGGTATGGCGACAAATAAATGTTATGTATCAGCAAATGACAGAAAGTGCAAAAGCATTAGATAAATTACATAAACAAAATGAGGAATATGTTAATGGTACAACTTTTACTATGGGTGGAATGGAAACTAAAGTAAGAATTAAAATTGAATTAAAAAAAAAGTGTAACATATTATTTTTTATATGTATATATATATTCTTACAGGTGAGCGAAATAACAAAACGTATGACTGAAGTTGATAATAACTTAAATTATCTGTTAGGAAGACTTTCGTTAGTGACGCAAGAATTTAATCAGATTAAAACAGGATTAGGAAATGCATTAGATAATATTAAAGCATCATTTAAAGAAGTTCAAGATAAAGCAAACGATTTGAGGGATCCCAATGGACCGCATCCTATACGTGAAAATTATAAAGAATTTAATGAAGCTGATAATAATAAACCGGATGGTAAGCTTTTATTACACAATTTTAAACATACGTTTAATCTTCAAATTAATTGAATTTTATGTTTGTAAAATTTTTATGTACAAAAATTAGACTATTTTAGTGTTAAATATAAGCTTTTTAATATATTTTATTTAAATTATTCGATTTAATTTTTATTGTATTTTTTTATAAACTGTATTTAAAAAAAATATATCAATATTTATTTAAAATGAAATATTTTTTTTAGTTGTGAAAATAAAATAAAACAATATCAATTTTATATCGAGGATGTTTTCATCGTTAATGGCATATCAAGTTATATTCAGGATTTATGTTTTCTATATCATAATATATTAACATTCATGACAGTAATATGTATCATCGTCATATATTATATAAGTTTGTTAAAATATATTATTTTAACTTTTGTTCAATGACAATGAACACATAGCTTATAAATGTAAACACAAATGATCTTTATCATTAAATTTCACACGTACTTAGAACATTGTAATTTTTAAATATCATGATATGTATAACTTACATTATTTTTTAATATATTATAAATAATTATTAAATAATTTCATTATAATAATTTTTAAGTGCAAAGAAATTATAATTAGAGTCATTAAAATATAAGAAACTTGGATTAGTATATTTTTATAGTACTATATTTTAAAATTAATCAACAGTTTGTCGAACATTTTTAATGAACATGAAAGTATGTAAATAAGTATGTAAAATATGTAACATGAAAGTATTATTATGCAAAAAAAAAATGTTAATATATATCTTCGTACAGATTGAATATCTATTATAATTATGTTAATAATAAAATGCTTTATAAAAATGTCTTATGATCAGTTGATTGTTATACTGATGTATCTTATTATGATTTTTCAAAATCATTTATTTAAAAAAGGAATATATAGTTTTATTTTACCATACTATAGTATTACCATGTATTGATAAATTGTCACTTGATATAAGAATGACCTACATTCTTCTAAATGTGATTAAAAGTAATAATTAAAATCCGTAAATATTTAGTTTCTATAAATTTCATATAAATACATAGTTTAATATAAATACATGGTTCAATAATAGTTCAATAATAGTTCAATACTACTTATTGTATTGAAATTAAATAATTAAATAATATAGCTATTAGTAAGAAAAGACAGATGAGAAAATTAAAAACTATATTATATAATAAAATCTTGGTAGTAATAAAATTAATAAAATTAAAAAAATTAAAAAAATTATTAATTTTACAATTCGATAACAATGCTAATAAATATTGATGACTTTACTGATAAAATTTTTATTCTTCTAATTAAATATAAATTTAGAGTAAAAAAAATAAATTTAAAAATTTTAACTTAATAAATTATATAATAATAATGTATGTATTATGAAATGCAACTTAATATGTTTAATCTTCTCGATTAAAGGTATACAGTTCTATACATTTTAAACTAAGAAATTTCTTTATTTTGAAAATAAAAAAATTTCTCCACTGAGTAACATTATTAATGACTAAGAAACTATTTAAGAAAGATATAATGGAAGATAAAATAAATTTGCATGCAAAATATAAACAAAGTGAATAACTGATTTCTTTTTCTATTGCTTGTATCATAGTTTATATACCAATGTAATACATATTTAATATTTCAAATTTGAAATTTTTTTTGTAGAGTGTTTTAATTTTATCGTATATAACACGCACATATGCATATGCAGACATCTACATATTTTTATTTAATCGTTAAGCTTATAAATCATTTTATTGCATTAATATAATTTGTAGTACAAACAATTTTTAAGTTTATATTTTAGATACAACTTCTTAGGTAAAGATGATTAAATATTATGCAAACGAATCAACCGTTTCACCAAAATAATATAAATTAACATGTTGTGAAAAGAATATGTACATTGTCGCAAAATATTTGAAATTATATATATAGCAGAGAATTATTTGTAACTACTGTATATAATACATATATAATTGTACATAATGCATGTTATTAATGCCATTATATCATTTTATTATTGTAATCATAATGTATGTATAATTAATTGTAATTGTTTATATGTACAAGAAATGAACTCATTACTAATGATTGGTTTGTGCACTATAATGATTTAATCTTTATTATTTTTTATTTATAATTGCATATAATGAATAAATTAACATAATATATTATTTTTATAATAACAGCATTTCATATTATCATCCTTCATCTATTTCATAATCATATTTTGTAATAAAATTTTAATTGTAATTTTCATTTTTTATATCAAATACAATTTAGAAATATTAATAGTAAGTATGTTGAAACTTACTATGTTTTGAATTTAATGTTATACAAATTGATATTTATTTTTTTAATTCTTTGAGTAAACAACTTGGTATAAAAATGAGATACAGTAAAGTTCAACTTTGTAAAATTGTATCTTTTTTTTTCATATCGTAATGAAAATTTTTTTTAAGCTGCATAAGAAGTCATTGTATTTATTTTATACAAACAATTCTATTACTACATTTTAGGGATAATATACAATTATATTATCATATTTGCATTTAAACTTCATTACACTCGTTCATAAATGTGGTGTTCTCACTCTATTCTCTTCACTTAAAAATATAATTTTATATGTACATTTAATAATATTAAATTTAATGTATAGTAGTATTTATTATATATTATATAATCCTAATGAATTAGTTTTCTAGAATTTATTATTATAGGTCCACTATATCCAGCTAAATAAAAACTAATATTTTATATATTTAGAAAATTTCGTAAGTACTTGATAACTTAAGTAATTAAAAAACTGCATTTATATTAAATGTTGTTTATCTCATAATCAACATATAAAAACATTTGATTCTCAATTAAATGTTTAAATATAATTTTCTTTTAGATATTAAGTTTAAATTATATTATTACAATACTATTATAAACTAAAATTTTTTGATTGTTAATGAATTACAAAATTACAATTTTGCATAAAATTATACTTTAACATCTTTTTGTTACACAAATATTGTAACACAATATTCACTGTAAAATATAGATGTTGTCAAAGTATTTATCAGTAAGTTACACGTTTTATTTCTTTATATAGATAGGAAAATATAAAAAAAATTGCAAAACAACTTTGCAAATTATACACAATTATATTGTATCAACGTTTTTAACATTTTTTTTATAGTAATATAAAACAACATTTCTTAGAAAATAAAAAATCATACAAACTTAATATATCGTATATATAAATGAAAAAATAACATTTTATAGATGTTGCTTATAATTGCTTAGTTTAATTTTATAATTAAAAGTTTAACTTCAATAATTTGTACATATTATTAATATTATGTAAGATATATGATAAATATATAGCTTACATTTTTTTTATTCGAAAAATTCAACAAATAATTTTGAAATTTATAAATTTGTTAAATTTGTAAATTTTGTATAATAACAACGATTATGAGATAATCACTATACATGCGTCTTACATAATATAGAAAATTTTTGATGGAAAGAGAACAAATATACATATTTTTTAAATTATAATTTAAACATTTTATAAAAAAGTATTTAAAGTTTATCAGAAAATTAAATAATTACCTTTAAATATTGAGATGAGATTAATTATATTTATATATTAATAAATTATAAAATATATTATATTATTTTGCAGATAATTTTCAATCATTTAATTTATGAAATGAATTTGGTGATTATCAGCAAATTGTTATGAGTGAATTATATCAGTTATATCAGTTTTTTCTATAAATTTAGATAAAATCGTTTTCATTATATTTAGAAATTTTACATATTTAAAAATTTGTTTTGTTGAGTATATTAATAAAATTAAAATTGAATTTGCAGATAAATTTCAATCTTTAATATGACAAAGTATAGTAACTTGTATATTTTTTTTATGAAAAAAAAAAAAAAA